CAACAACAACAACAACAACAACAACAACAACAACAACAACAACAACATGTAGTCATGTAAATAACTCACCACAGAGCAGCTCCAACTCCTGCTACTGTGCTTGCTGTTTTTAATTATGTTTGTTGTTGTTAATGTTGTTTGTTGTTTGTGTTGTTGTTAATGTTGTTTGTTGCTGTTGTTTTTAATGTTGTTTGTTGTTGTTTGCAGTATGTGTTTGATTACCGGGACGGTGACGTGTTCGGCTGTGTGGCTGACATCGGCTGGATTACTGGTCACAGCTACGTGGTGTATGGCCCGTTATGTAACGGTGCCACAACGGTTCTGTTCGAGAGCACACCAGTGTATCCAAACCCAGGTGAGGGTGACACACACACACACACACACACACCTGTAGGACAGCCGATTCAAACTTGTGCTGAAACTCACCCGTGGATCCAGGAAGTTCAGTGAACTCGGAGTTAACTCAAACCAAGAGGACGAACTGAACGTTGAGCTCCACAAATACTGACCAAGATTTGCTAACCTTCAGGTAAAAACATGCACATGTGCAGAATGAAACCATCAGTGGCACACTCCGTTACCATGGTGATGGGGTCTGTTACCACCGAGACACGCTCTGTTACCATGGCACCAGTGCACCACTGATGATGGTTTTGTTCTGCACACATGCATGCTCTTACCTAAGGGTTACTAAACTGAGCTGTGTCAGCTGGTTCTGTGGGTCCATGTGAATTCTAACAGTCCTGACTTCAATCCACTCAGATCCGTTTTTGTGGCACCTGGAAAGTTTTGGTCACGTTCAAAACTTTCCAGGTAAAGAAACAACAAAATCCTTTGAAGTGTCCTCTAACCGGTTTTTGTCAGCACTGTTCTGTTAGTGTTCCTCCAGGACCACAGCTGGGATCTAAATGTTCTGATCACATTCCAGGGTGAGTTGAAGAGAAGGCACTTCAAAAACTAGCAGGAGATCCTGAAAATCTGGACTTTAAAAGAGTCTGGCTCAAATGCACCTGGGGTGCCGCTGGACTGTGACCCAGAAGCAGGAGGAACGTTCTGATTGTCTCTCAGAAGAAGCTGGACATGAATCAGAGCTGCTGCTGGAACCTCATTCTGCGTGGAGGACTCGTCTGGTCAACCTTCGGGTTTACACTCCATGTATTATCGGTGTGATCCAGAACCGAGTCCATGGACAGGTGCTGCGGCCAGAGAATGCCTGATGGGTGAAATTATTTCTGCTGGATTCTGCAGCACTGTTCTCTTCAGGGACTGTTCTTGCAGCCTTCTTGGTCCACTAATGTTCGTTCCAACTGATTCCAAAGAGTGCCGGAGACTTCGCTCCTTTCTGCTGATGTAAGCTGCAGAAGAGGAGGATGAACACACAAAACATCTGTTTCTATTTGGGTCTGAGCTGTTCATCTGCTCTACAGCCTCTACAAACATCAGCATTCTATCTCTTGATGGGACTCCTTTGGTCTGCTCATGGTTCTGCTGGGTCCTCTGGTGTGTCTCACCTGAAGCAGGAAGCTGCTGGATGATCATTTAAAGAACCATCAGGCTCTGATCAGTCAGTTACTCATTGATGTTTATCACCTGCAGGTGTAGACATGAAGACGCTTATAGTGTTTGTTCTTTGTGCTTCTCTGAGCTCTGATTGGTCCAGACGGTTCTGACCTATCTCCTCTTCCTCACCTGTTCAGGATGTGGCCTTGACCTTCCTGGGTTGGGATTCTGAGTTCAGATAATGTGAAGGTTAGAAAGTTACATCAAAAAATAAAATTAATGTTTATTTTTATATCACGAGGTTTTATGCCTACACTTAAAACTTCATTATGTTTGGTTCATTTTAATGTTTATAATGTAATATAATAATAAAGAAGTAAAACAAAAGATTAGAAAATAATATAATGTTTATTATTATTTATTATTATTATATTATTCTAATAGTTTAGTTTTAAAGCAGAAATCTGTCAAAAATGAAAAAGTTCAACTGAGTCAACAAACAAGGAAACTAACCAAGCGACCAGCTCAGTGTAGGAGAACTGGACCTGTTGTTTACTCTTTTTAGCCCAGTCTCTTTCAGCTGCTGTTTGAGGCTCCGGCAGCTGAAACCACAGAGTTTCAGCTACAAAATCAACAGAAAGCAGAGCTGGAGCTGAAGTCACTCATGACAGACCTCATCATGCCTCCCAAAGTAGTGGGGCAGCTGTGGTTGAGTGGTTAGAACAGTCATCCTCCTACGGGAGAGTTGAGGGATTGATTCCATCAGCAGTCACATGTTGAAGTGTCCCTGGGCAAAACACTGAACCCCTCATTGCCTCTGATGTGTGTCCCATCAGTGAATGAATGTGATAAAGCTCTGATTATTCTTTGTATGTATGTATGTAAATAAGTATATATATATATATATATATATATATATATATATATATATATATATATATATGCGTGAGTTTTCTCAGGGTACTCCAGTTTCCTCCCACAGACCAAAAACATGCATGTTAGACTGATTGGTAACTCTAAATTGTCTCTAGGTGTGAGTGAGAGAGTGAATGGTTGTTTGTCTTGTTGGTCTCTATGTGTACTCATGTATATATATATATATATATATAGTAGAGTGCTGAATGAATGTGTGTGTTGGAGATAAAAGAGGCACAGACTGTGTTGTAAACAACAAAGTCTATGCTCACTGTGTTGTAAAGCACTTTGCGTATCTTGATTAGATAGAAAGGTGTTGTATAAATACAGTATGTTTACTATTTACCATTTAATGTTCTGGATCCACACGTTTCAGCTCCAGTCTGACCCTCTGAACCACATCACATAACATGTCTCTCTGTCCATGTTCCTCCATGTGTCATGTTGTTGATCAGGAAGGTACTGGGAGATGGTTGAACGCCTGAGGATAAACCAGTTCTACGGAGCTCCGACAGCCCTGCGTTTGCTGCTGAAATATGACGAGAGCTGGGTGAAGAAGTATGACCGTTCGTCTCTGAGAACACTTGGATCAGGTGGAACACGAGAACCGAACATTTCACATAATAAACAACATGAAGCAGAACTTTGGTTATCAGCTTTAAGCACAAAATGTAGATTTACCAGTAATCAGATGAGCAGGGTGTTGTCAGCAAACATGAATCTACATTTTATCTGCTTCATGGCTCCAATAAACAAAATGTTTGTGTGCATTCACACTATTATTTTCCTGTTTATATTTATTATTATTCCGACTTCTGTCCCTATTCCCTACGGTTTTCAGCACGATACTCGTCCTGCAGTTTTTAAGCTATTTCAGCAATTTAGGTATTAAAATGAACAAAAAAATTACAAAAATAAAAATACACCACTAATAAGAAAAAAAGAACAAAATGTTCAACTGTTTAGCAAGGATTTCTATGGTAACTATCAATTTTTAATAACACTCTTTCTTCTTTTAAATGTTCCCTCTTCAGAGGTCTCCACAGAGAAACTTCCATCTAACTCTGTTCTCTGCATCCTCTGTCCTCACTACAACTACCTCCATGTCCTCTCTAACTGCATCCATATATCTCCACTGTCTTTTTCCTGGCAGCTGCATTTCAAACATCCTTCAACCAGTATACCCACTGTCCCTCCTCTGGGCATGTCCAAACCATCTCAGTCTGGCCTCCCTAACTTTATCTCCCAGTTATTCAACCTGTGCTGTACCTCTGATTACCTCATTCCTAATCTTATCCATCCATGTCACTCCTAAGGAGAACCTCAACATCTTCATTTCTGCCACTTCCAGTTCTTTCAGCTGTCTTTATATCAATATCTCTGTCTCCTAACCATACAACATAACTGGTCTGATCACTCCTCAAAGTATTCCTTCCATCTTCATGTCACACTCTCCTCGCTTGTTAGAACATTACCATTCCTATCTTTAACAAGCTTAACCTGCTGCACATCCTTTCCAGCCTGATCCCTCTGTCTCACCAATCAAATCCTTCTTGTCCTCTTTAGTGTCCAGCCTCCCATACAACTCATCGTACGCCTTCTGCTTTGCCTTAGCTACCTCCCTCTTTGCTCTATTTCCCATCTCATTATATTCCTGTCTCCTGTCTTCAGTCATCTCACTGTCATATTTCTTCTTGACTAACCTTGTTCTTTGAATAGCTTCCTGCACTTCACTATTGTTGTTGCTGTTGTTGTTGTTGTTGTAGTAGTTAGTAGTAGCAGCAGTTGCTTCTCAGCAAGCAGGTTACCCCAGTTCAAATCTCGGTCCAGGGGCCTTTCTGGGTAGAGTTTGCATGTTCTCTCCATGCGTGAGTTTTCTCAGGGTACTCCAGTTTCCTCCCACAGACCAAAAACATGCATGTTAGACTGACTGGTAACTCTAAATTGTCTCTAGGTGTGAGTGAGAGAGTGAATGGTTGTTTGTCTTGTTGGTCTCTATGTGTCCCTGTGATGGACTGGAGACCTGTCTAGGGTGTCCCTGCCTCTCGCACAGCGATTGCTGGACATGGGCACTGGCGACCCCTACAACCCAAAAAAGAAGAAGCAAGTAAAGATGATGGATATTTTCGTTTGTTGTGGCAATGATGTTTAAGCAGACAAGAGCTGCTGCAGAAACCCAAATATTTCTATCAGACATGTAAAAATAAAAAAAAAATATTCTCTTACAGCAGCATTTGAGTTGCATATCTGTAGATGCTGATGGAACAACCAGAGAATGTCATTATCAGGTAAAATGTTAGAAATATACAGTGTGTGAACAGGTCTGATGTTAAATTGTTCTGTGCTTGCTGAGGTTGAGTGCTTTGGATCCTCGTCTGGTGGTTCAGGGTTTTACTTGTGCAGCTTTTCTCAAATATCTCCACCAGAAGATGTTCCAGACCTTCACAGCAGTGATTTCTGTTCCTGAGTCTGACTTTTGGTTTCAGGTTCAGGTGAGGACTGATGTGTGTCACAACTTTCTTGTTGTCTTTCTAGTGGGGGAGCCAATAAACCACGAGGCCTGGCACTGGTTCCACAGTGTGGTGGGGGAGGGACGGTGTCCACTGGTGGACACTTGGTGGCAGACAGGTGAGACACAGCTTTATGATTTATAAAACACAAGTTTTTATCTTTCCCATCAAACCTAAATATCATTCAATCAAACATGACTTTCTTGCTTTAACAAGTGCAGAAACATAAAACCAGTGCTTTTTAGAGAAAACCATTATTGCCAGAGAAAATATGTCGAGATATAAAAGGTTCTGCAGACGTCTTTCCTTCACGTGGCCATCCTGACTGAGCAGGGAGAAGGTCCAGGTCATCAACATGTTACCTGGACCACATGCTGAGGGCTAACTGAGCTTCAGCTGTTTGCAGGGAGCCTAACCATCAGAACGTAACACTTATCAGGCTGAACACTTACAAACACAAAACCCAACACGGTATATACAGGAGGAACCGTACTGAACACATGGAGCATTAAACCGGACCCCTCAGGATGCACAGCTGAGCTGAACAAACTGAAAAGAACAAACGTTTCAAAACAGTGAGTCGAAGATTAGCAGCTTCTCCTGTAATCTTTTTGAAGGGATTAAAGTATGACTTAATGTTTGTTCCACAGCCTCAGACAAACACTTTATGTTGTTTTCTTCTCTGTGAGACTGAAAACCACCAGAGACACTAAAACTCCTCACGGGGACATCTTTCCCTTCTCTGTAAGCTCATGCTTGTGTTGGGGTTGAGTTCTCTGAGGTTTGGTAAATCCTCTTTGGGGATCAAGGTTCGTTGGTCTCTGTGGAGTTTGTTGAATCCAGTTCCAGGTTTTTGGGTCTCTGCGGGTAGTTTGTCTCTGTTGGAGGTTCTGATTCTTGATCCGCCTGTAAATCCGTCTGATTCTCTCTTTATTGAAAATTAAACCCTAATTTGAGCGATTAGCAGCCGAACATCTGTAGCTCTGTAGAAAATGAATTAGGATCAAATCCTGCACACACTTAACCCCCAAACCCTCCAGGATCACAGAGACTTTGACCCAATTCCTCGACAATCATGACTCGGACGGTTGGTTTAAACTCTCTGCCAGCTGCGTTCAACTCTGGAGACCAGAAAATCTCCAAGAAATGGAGGAAATTACGAGCAGCTGAAAGCAGCATGGACCTCGTTACAGTTTTAATTTGTTCGTCTGTAAATCGGATCCACTTTAAACTCATGAAACTTGTTTTTTCTTCAGAGACCGGAGGAATCTGCATTGCCCCCAGACCTGCTGAGGACGAAGCCCCCATTGTCCCCTCCATGGCCATGAGGCCGTTCTACGGGATCCAGCCCATCATCATCGGAGACCAGGTGACCTTGAACCTCACACCTGAGCTTGGGTTCTGGCCCTCCTGGGTCTGTTCTGAATTGTCTATGTCCCACATCAGTCTTTCAAATGGTGATGGGACAGTTTGACAGTCCAACCCAGCTGGACTGTGGTTGGACGTGTTCTTGAAGAGACAGATCCAGAACATCAGTCCAAAGACAGGTCTGGTTCAGTTTGTCAGACCTGGACTCAGATGATAAGAGCCTGTTGGATTTCTTTGTCCACTTGAGTGTTCGGCTCTCCTCTCCTTGTGAGGACGGCCTGCTCTTGGTAGATTTACACATATTCCCATGTCCTTCCAGTTCTTGATGATGATGGATCTAACAGGACTCCTGGGGATGTTTAGGACCTTGGAAACCTATTTGCTTCCATCCTGACTTGAACATTTCATTTTAATGATCTGAGCTGAGTTAGGACGATCACGCTACAGAGAGTGGATATTTTTTCTCAACTCATATTACGCTATAGAAACTTGGTTTCACTTTGACACCGACAAAGTTTTGTATGATAACAGTGGCTGATTTAAAAATAAAGTACCAGTATCAAATATTCAGAGGCGGGGGTGTGTGGGGGGGATACTTTTCACAGACATTGTAACTAAGAAGCTGTCTGGTTAGGACTGATTAGAGACCGTCGGTCCAATCAGAGCATCTCGTTGAGCACCGGTGACCTCGCAGCCTTCGAGGATACTGCTCCGTCTCGTCATCTCTTTAATCTTTCTGTTAAAGCATCTGTTTGTGTCATTACTGGACCTCTCTCCAGATTAATTATCCGTCTTGTCTCCTGCAGATGTTGAGCTGCCGGACTTCAAGGATTTCTGCCGTTTGATTAGATTAGGATCCTCAGAGGAGGTCGAGGTCACATCCACTCAGTCCTGATGAACGAGCTCTCAATTCATTTGTACCTCTTAACACTGCTGGGACAGTACCGTGGTAGCAGTACAGAATCTCCATTCTGCTGGTGGGGACCGATCCAGATTAAGGAGGGCTCTGATGGTGGGGTCTGATCTGAGTCGAGTTGCTGTGTTACCACCAGGAGGGTCCTGCTGGTTGGGTTTGATTTGGGTTTGATGAAGGCTGCATGATTTAGGTTGTCATCTCTGTTGAGCTCTCAGAAAACGTATGTTTTTCAGTTTAGATCAACACAAAGTTTTGAGTTTTATCTAACAAACCAGCAGGATGCTTTATGAAAGATCTGCAAGGCTTCTGGGACAAAGGACAAAATAAAAGTGTTTATCCATCATGCAGCATCTGGCAGCACGACGGGTCAGTGGTTAGCACTGTTGCCTCACAACAAGAAGGTCTTGGGTTCAATCCCTGGTTTGACCTGGGGTCTTTCTGTGTGGAGTTTGCATGTTCTTCTCGTGCTTGCGTGTGTTTTCTCCAGGTGCTCTGGTTTCCTCCCACAGATCAAAAACATGCATGTTAGACTGCCTTCAGGTCCAGGCCTCCCTTGCAAAAGAGATCTGTGATCTCATTGGGATTTGCCTGGTTAAATAAACGTTAATAAATAAAATAAAAAATGCACAGCAGCTAACACAGCAGCTAACAGCCTTTCAATACTAACAACTTGTTCCTGCTGTCAACATGGTGGTGGAGGGCTGATAATGTGGGGTGGTTCTCGACTGGGGAATCTGAGTCCTGCCTGTTTGTTTCAGGGTGAGGTTCTCAGCCGTCCGTCGGTCAGCGGAGCCCTATGCATCAGTCAGCCATGGCCTGGGATGGCTCGCAGCATCAACGGCAACCATCAGAGATTTATCGACACTTATTTCACGCCATACCCCGGTCAGTAAAATTCCACCACACCAGGTGGCACTGCAACACCATCCACACCACAACAAGTGGCATATTAACACTGTCCACACCGTATCACACCAAGAGGCACTGTAAGACCATCCACAACACACCAGGTGGCACTGCAACACCATCCACACCACACTAAGTGGCACTTTAACACAATCCATACCACACCAGGTGGCACTGCAACACCATCCACATCACATCAAGTAACACTGTAACGCCGTCCACACCACACCAAGTGGCACTTTAACACCATCCACACTACATCAAGTAACACTGTAACGCCGTCCACACCAAGTGGCACTTTAACACCATCCACACCACACTAAGTGCCACTGTAACTCTATCCACACCAGGTGGTAGTGTAGCACCATCCACACCACACCAAACGCTGTAACACCATCCACACCACATTAGGTGGCACAGTAATGCCATCCACACCAAACCAGGTGGCACTATAATGCTTTCCACACCACGAAGCTGTAACGCCGTCCACACCACACCTGGTGGCACTGTAGCACGGTCCACACCACACCTGGTGGCACTGTAATGCCCAGCCTGTGAGCTCTGTTCCTCTTCAGGTTATTATTTCACCGGCGATGGGGCTGTCCTCTCAGAGGATGGATTCTATCAGATAACCGGACGCATAGATGACGTCATCAACATCAGCGGTCACCGTCTGGGGACTGCGGAGATTGAGGACGCTTTGGTAAGATGTCCCAAAGATGATTAGCTTCAGACTAAGACAGACTAGAAACACAGAAAACGGAGAAGAGTTATCTGTTATCAAACAAGATGGACAGTTTGAAACAAAGATCAAAACACATCAGATATGAGATAAATCAGAAATATGAAGGAGATAAGATACGATTGTAAAGAAACAACAGATCTGATCTGAGATTAAAGGAAATGAATGAACGAGCTGCTGATATGAGCTAACACTCGGGTCAAAGTACACAAAGGTCAAAAAACTTCTTCCAGAAAGAAGTTTAGTAAGTAAAACTAAAAAACTGTACACTAAGTCTGATTAGCTCAAAGTAAAAGAAACCCCCAGATGAATTAAAGGATGGAGTGCATGAAATAATTTTTTTTTTTTTGCTTAAGCAATGAATGAATCACCTCAAAACATTTACTGATAACGTCTGTTTACTTTTGGAAAAGAGTAAAGAATGAGAGGAACATTTTTATATATGAACAACCATTTTTCTTTGTTCTGTCTTCATATAATCTCTGATAATCTCTCAGATTGTGTCCTTGCTAACACCCTGTTTCCCATCGTTTTAATTTGTTTCTGTGAGCCTGTGGCCCCCTCTGCTGGCAGCTCCCCACAGTAAGGATTTTATTCATCTGATCCGGTCTTCAACAGGACAGAATCAGACAGATTCTGTTTCTTCTTCAGACGGATCTGATCTTCAGCAGGTTCTAAACTCAGCTGAACCTCAAATGAAGAGAAACACCCGGCAGAAACAAAAATTAAAAGATAAAGCTGGAAGTGGAAAACTGCTTCCAGTGGAGCTCTAAATACTGTGGTGTTCCTTCAGAGAGCTGAGAAGAAACCTAAATGAACTGAAGTCTCACTGGAAAGAACAGTGGGCCAAAAGTCCTCCAGAACCAGGAAATAGACTGTAACACAAAACCACTGCTGTGAATTCTGCTGATAGGAGGTTCTATAAGGTCCTTGAACAGGGTCTGGAACGAGTTTTCAGACACAAAGTTGTTTAATAAAGAACATTATGGTTGAATCTGTAGTGTTGACTGAAATTAAATCAGAACCATTCTAGAACCTGGAAAAAACCATACCAGGTCCTGTATGTCCTTAAGACCAGATCAAGTCAATTATGTCCCCAAGACCAGATCAGGCCATTTATGTTCTGATATAGAAAACCCTGAAACTGAAAGGGGGAGGGGGCTCCATCCCATCTTCTACCTCTTTTCTGTAGTCTGGCCGCAGATGCAACAGGTCTAGGAGACAAACCCAGACCTCCTTCTCCTCAGCAACACTTTCCAGCTTTGCCTAAGGAACCCCGAGGTGCTTCCAGGCCCGGGAACAAAATCCCTCCAGAGAGCTAGGCCCAAGACCCAGAGGTTCCCATACCAGAATCTCTCCTTTCCATTATTGAACCTTGAGATCCTGTCCATGAACACCACAAACAGGATCAGAGCCCAGGGACAGCACTGGCAGAGTCTAACCTGCATGGAGAATGAGCTTGACTTTGTGCCAATAATGCAAAACAACTCCTGCTTTGGTTCTACAAGGACTGGAAAGCTCTTAACAGCAACCTAGATAACCCATGCTCCCACAGCATCCCCCACAGAATTCCTCGGGGAACACCCTTCTCTAGGTCCACAAGACACATGCAGACTGGAGAGGCATACTCCCATGACCCCCTTAGTCAGGGCCAGATTAACACTTTGCTGTACCCTGGGCAACAATCTTCAAGGGCCCCATCATCACGACCCCAGAATCACCATAATCTGGCAAAATATAGAATAAATTACCATAATATACAGTAAATATACTTAAAATTCTAACTATCAAGTGTATTTTTATGTAAAAAAACTCCAAATGCTCATTGACACAAATCATCAAGACTGAATTAAGTTGAACGCACTTTGAACACCACATGACACCATGTGTGCACTTGTTTAGTAATGTATTGGCCACTGGTGTCAGAAGCATTTATAATGGGGGGGGGGGGGGGGCAAACCCGCCTTGGGGGGGGGGGGGGTCCTCTCCCAGAAAATTTTGAATAAAGTAGATGCCATTTCCTGCATTCTGGTATCTTTTAATGGTTGTTTAACATCTAGTTTTACCTACACAAGTAAACACTTGGAACACCTTGGGATTCCCCTGGAGGAGCTGGTCCAAGTGGCTGGGGAGAGGGAAGTCTGGACCTCCCTACTTAGGCTGCTACCCCCGTAGATGGATGGAAGTAAACCCTTGATTCAATAACTATTTTAGAGCTAATGGCACAACAAGAAGTAACCTGACCAACAGCTGATTCAATAATTAAAAATATATATTCAAAGGTGACAATTTAATGCCCAAATTAAAATTAAATGTCTGTAACTTAGTCGACTTCAAATGTAATAAGATTATCAATGAATGTTTGCAACAAAGGATTTACTGATTATAACAAAGATTCCTTCAAGAAGCCTCCTAATATAAATCATAAAACCAGAATGATTTCTGCTCAGTATAAATTTGTCAAATGGCCTAAATCTCCTAAAGTGAAGGAGAATGATTTAAAAATAATAAATAAGATATATCCTGTAGCCATGTTTCTGCAAAGAAGATTTAAATTTGATGTTGATTTGTTGCCTTTTGTAAATCAGAAGATGAATCCCTCAAGCAATTTTTTTTATTTTTTTTTTATGTGTTTGGTCAGACATCAGAAACTGGATTAATCTCAAACTCAACATTTCTTCTTTTCATGCTGATAACATTTTACTTTATGTGGATAACTTAAGCTCAGCTTTCTCTGATGCCATAAATATAGTCGTACTTATAGCAAAGTACCACATTCACTGAAGTAAGAGGAGGGATAATAAATCCTCCTTCCTGTTTGATGAACGATTTTAATTCATACTATTCTTCAATGAGTAGATTAAAAATCTGCAAAACTGCTGAAGTCATTTCCCAAAATATACAAACTTATTGTTTTAATTAAAACAATGTTTCTCAAGAAAAAAAATCTGATGAGCTTGTCAGCAGGTAAGGGGCGTTTACCTTCGAGACAAATTGAAGTTGTCGATTGGTCAGTTACTGACACGCCTTCTGAGTTGCTTGACAGGTCGCACCGTCGAGGATCTGATTGAAAAAATAAAAAATAAAAAATGAGAGCTGCAGCAGCCGCGCTGGGAGGAGGCGGGGCTGCACAAATGCAGCGGAAGCACAGTAGTCTCTCTGTGCAGCGCAGGGCTCCAAGTAAAGCAGGAGATAACCAAATTCTGCTTGTGCCCTCACTGCCCTGGGCCCCTTAGAGATCATGGGCCCCTGGACAGTTGCCCAGTTGCCCATATGGTTAATCCGGCCTTGCCCTTAGTAACTCTGCAAGGGTGAAAATCTGGTCCACTGTTCCATGACCAAGGTAGAGATCACACTGTTATTCCTGAATCCGAGGTTTGACAATCATTCAGAGGCTTTCTTCCAACACCGTGGAGCAAACTTTCTAATGGAAGGTAAGAAGAGTGATCCCACAATAGTTGGAACACACTCTATGGTCCCCCTTTTTAAAAATGGGAACCACCTTTGCCAGTCCACAGGTGTTATACCAGTCATCCATGGAATATTGAAGAGACATGTAAACCACAACAGCCCTACAACTTCCAGCTTTCAGTATCTCTAGGCAAATCTTGTCCAGCCCTGGCACTCTGCCACCTAGGAGCTTTTTGACTACCTTGGTGACCTCAGCCATGGTGATGGACTTGTCTTCCTCCATGTCCTCAGACTGCCTCCTCAAATGTGGACATGGTAGGTGGCCCGAAGTTGCAGAGAAGCAACCAAATCATTCAGGGAAAAACTTCAACACTGAGACATTGTACTTGCAAGTATCCCTCCACCTATCTGATGCCTCTCTCTCTGGGTAACTCTGGAGTAGGAGAGTTGACCCTCTCTCCAGGAGATACGTAGATTCCAAAGCCCAAACTGTGTGTAAAGGTGAGCCCAACTATTAGCTGGCATTGCTCAAGCTCACACATAAGCTCTGACTCCTTACCCACCAGTGAGGTGATTTTTCATGTCCCTACAGAGCTAGTCTATACCACCAGGAATCGGCATGGTCGGCTGCTCTCCCTAACCTGCCACCTGGCATACATTGCACCCAATCTTGACAATCCTTCTCACAGGTGGTGGGCCCACGTGGAGGTTGCATCCTGGCTTTTTGAGGGTCTTGGCCCGATCGAGTCTCAGGAGCTTGACTGTGAGCTCTTCTCCACTACTCCTCCTTCTACCAGGGGCTGATGCTCTAGACAACATAGTCCCCAGGATCACAGGAAGACTCAAACCCATCCACCATGTTAAAGGGATACTATGCAGAGAGTCTTTAATGATCCAACACCAAACAACGGATCTGTGTTTGTCACGCAGTCTGTGTGAATGTGTGTGTGTGTGTGTGTGTGTGTGTGTGTGTGTGTGTGTGTGTGTGTGTGTAGGATGAGCATCCAGCTGTTCCAGAAACTGCAGTGGTTGGAATTCCTCATGAGATTAAAGGAGAAGGTGAGATCTGCTGAACTCCCATCATGCTCTGCTGCTTTACTTTATTTTAAAGCTCCGATTGTGTGTTTGTGTGTCTCCTTAGTACCTTTTGCCTTTGTGGTTCTGAAGGATGACGTATCTGTTAACCCCACCACTGTCCTTCAGCAGCTCAGAGAACTCGTCTCAACAAAGATTGCCAAATATGCTGTACCGGAACACTTCCTGGTGAGTTTCTGCCCCCAAACCTGCAGAACTCGCAGCTTTGGGGGTTTCAGACCTACAGGGTCTGTCTCAAGTTAATAACCATCACATTACCATGGTCCTAGTCTTGATCCAGTTTATTGTTGATTCTCATTTGTCGTAGATGGGTTCTAGGTCAGCCTGTTATTGTAGTCTTAAAACTACAGTATGATACTATGATACTTGCATTTGTGCTCTCAGGCCATCATTACCTGCAGTGTGCCCTCAGTGCAGACTGAACTCTGCAAAAAGGCCTTTTCTTACTCTGCTCTTGTAACCTGGAACACCTTGCAACAAGAACTGAAGCTGTCCACTTTGATTTATTTAAAGGATTTTAAACAACTGATGTCAATAGAAAAATGAAAGCAATTATATTATTTTTTTTAGTATTTTACCTTGTTTTATGTGGCACCTTGATTTTATTGTTTTATAACACTAGTTTTATTTACATTTTATTGTCGTTTATTGCCATCTGTATTTTATATGTTGCCTGTCTAAAACAGGTCTCTCTTGTGAGAAATGAGTCCTTGTGACTCAGTGAGACTAACCTGTATAAATAAAGGTTGAATGAAAATGATTTGTCTGAGTCATGAGTCTGCTCACACAGACTCATGTTCGTGATGCTGTTCGACATAATGTTTTTATGGAATTAGTGCTTGGTGTATTATTTAGCTGATGTTTTTCTTAGTTCATATCTTAGATCTTACTGTTTTTCTTTTACATTTTATTGTTGGATGTAACCAAGACCCTGTGTACATAATATCATTCCACCACATGTACCACAAGAGATGCGAATGACAAATAAATCTCTCTGACTCCGACTCTGATTTAGAGATGGGTACATCCCGACCCAGAAAAGACAAGGAGACATGGGATGAAGACAGAGAAGGCATTATCTGTTGTTATTCCTTCTTTTCTCCTTTTTCCAGTCAGAGCTCAGAATACCTCTCAGCAAATCATGTGTCGTGGAGAAATCTTATAAGTCTATCTTCTCTCCCAGGTGGAGAGGCTTCACCATGAACAAAGGCTCTGCAGAGGGAGAAATGATACACACACACACTCAGCTGCTGCATTTGATCTCTTGCTTTTTGTCAACTCAACAGTCCTTATATAGCTCAACAGCTACACAAACAGAACATTTTCTTGACACCCCCACATTCAGCCATGTCTGGTTGCATGTGAAGTCTGGGTGCAGCTGCTCCTTGGTCACAAAACACATTGCCCAATGCTGTTAATTTTAGCGATAGACAGGATCAGTTCTGATAAGTTTCTACCCAGTTCTTCTTGTCAGTCTGGTCAGTGAAGTTCAACTTCTTTGTTGTACTTTCTGGAACCAGATACGAGTTAAGTTGCTGCAAAAGCAAGTACACTTATTGCTGGAGTACATGTCGTAAGCACAAACATCAACAGTAAATGTATTCAGCATAGTAATAAGGGCTTATATCATTCATTCAACTTTTATTTAAACAGATAAATCACATTTAGCCTCGAAGACTCGTTTACAAGAGAGACCTGTTTGGACAGACAAAAACAGTGATTAACTGGACACATGTAGGAGTTGGAGGCAAAAAAAATCCTATCAGACTTTTTTTTTTCTTGCCTGAGAAAAAAACCCCTCTAATATTAAAAAAACACCTCGCACAAACAAGCACATATTTACGTAGACATTCTGCAATCGGAGACGAGAGCGGTCAACAACGCTTATAGATGCTCTCGAGGTCACTGTAATCAGTCAATGTCCTCCGGTGAGATCCATAAACATTCTCGAGGTATGTCGAGGAATGGCCAAGGATGACATCTATGAGAACCCAAGAGTCCTGAAATGATGACACAGTTTATTCAGCTGGTTCATCTGGTTATCAGTTGGAAATTCCTCAGGGAGGGGGTGGCGAGCGTCAGATCACATTTTCTCCAGGCAAATTCAGATAAGGTGGCCTTCAAGACCAGCCAAGGGAACCAAAATTTAGATAAACACACAGTTGTTTTAGGGACAGGCAGGACTTAATGACATCTACCTTGAGTCAGTATTGGTCAACTTGGTTCCGAAATGTCCAAAATAACATGGCCTGAGCGTGATCGGGTCCAAATTTGCTGCTGACGACTTCCTTGATTGTAGATAAAACCAGCACCAGCTGAATCCAAAATAGCAGGAACCAGTTATCAAAAATCCAGTTAAATATGCGTCCTTAAAATCCACAGATGGCAGCAGAGAAAGACACATCATCAAGTCTTCCAAGTCGATGAGATATCCAGCTGCATGCGTGCAAACAGGGCAAATCGGCTCGCTTAAAGCCTGTCTTCTCTTCGAAGAAAATGTTATAAATTGAGTTAAGGGACCAACAGGTCAAAACAGTCCATAATTATGGTTCGGAAGAAATGCAAGAGAGTCTCACAGCAGTTTCAAAGACAGACAGAGCAGCAGAGCGGAGAGGGAGGGGAGAAGCATCCGATCTCATCGAGAGCAAGTGGTGAATCATATTCTGCTATTACACGTCTCAGCGTATCTCTCGTCTCCTAGGTGGTGAAGCGGCTGCCTAAGACTCGCTCTGGGAAGATCATGAGGCGGATTCTCAGGAAGGTGGCCATGGAGACGACCTGTGACCTCGGGGACGTGTCGACTTTGGACGACCCGTCCGTCATCGCAGAGATCGTGGAGTCTCTTGAGCAGTACCGGAAGCAAAGAGAAACAAAGTAGTAGGATAGTGGGGCATCAAGGGTTCTCAGAAGAATAGAACCAGCAATTCTGATCAACACCATGTCTGTTTTGTCAGAGTTTAACAAAAACTGGACAACAAGAAGCGATCAGCAATGCAAAGGAAACGTTTTACATTTAATGAATGCTTCAGATCAAATAATGGTTGTGAAATTTTTAGACAAAATAGTTCAATTTAGATTTTTTTTAAACAAAATTCACTTTAAAAAAATAAACAAACTTTGATCATTTTTACACTTGTTTACACAACAGTATTTTGAGCAAACTGTAGTGCTTCTGCTATATTCGGCTGTCCGAGCATATGATGGATTAGAGTGCTGTTTGTGCTGATCGCCCTGTTCAGCATGGAGGAGCGACCCAACCTCAAAGCAACGTTCATGTGGTCATCAGTTTGAAAGCAACCGTTTGAGCTCAAGACTGAACTGTAAGTCATGAAAGCCAAAAAACACACAGTGCCAGTGAGTGACCCGAGTTGCTAGATACATATAAGTATAGTTTTTAGAAGAGCTTTAGGGTCAAGCCCCTCCTTCCTTTTGTGCCCACGTTCACTAAACACAAGGCACCTCATCTTACAACTTCCCCCTCTGATTAAGTTCACTTCATTCAGGACATACAGTAACTTGGGTCAAAATACAATAACTTGAAAGTGCCTGTCGGATATTTAGTCATTTCCTATCTGGCAATCTTACCTGGCCTAGAAACTACAGCGTCCATGTTAATGTGTTTTTATCATGTTGATTCGAACACAGCCATATTCATCAAGACTTATTAAACCAATAAAACATGACAAATGTCACTTAAGTTTTCTAAACACAAAGGTTTGATTTCTGTTTAAATCTGACTAAAACAGAATCAGACTGCAGCTGCAGTCAGCCCAGATCTGATGATATTTAGGTAATAGGTTGGGTTTACTGAAAAGCCAAAATAATTACAGATCAGACCTCCAACAGGGGGTAGCAGAGATCAGGTCCTCAGACATACAGATGTTCCATGCATAGCGTCTGATCTGTGGGTCCATGGCTCAATTCTGGCCATACCACTCCTCTCCCTCCTCCCCACCTTCTCCCAGGTCTTAAATCAATAATAAATTAATTTATTTAAAATTTTCTTTAAACAGATTCATCTCATTGAGATTAAAAATCTCTTTTTCACCAGAGACCTAGCCAAGAATGGCAGCAGCACATAAACATTATTAACCATAAAACCACAGATACTTAAATAGATCATGGTAAATAAAAGATGAAAAAAGAGAAAAACACTCATAACTCTAAAATAGGACTCAAATATAATTTGATATCTGTTAAAACATTTAAAAACAAATACCTCATTTACAACCTGGTTAAGAATGGCCTTAAAAACTCTCAGAGACAAAGGTCCTGTCATACTCCATCCCACGCTGAACAGTCAACGTGCGGTCACCTGTTTGTGGGATGTTCGTTCTCGGACACACCTTTCATAGTCCACCAGACACAGAGCTCCTGGGAAACCCCTCATGCTGCAATATGTGTCACCACACGTTTCTTACCATCTGAAGTCTCCACTCCGCCCCTGCACCCACAGTTTGGCCACAAATTTATCATGAAGAAAGCTCCACACTTTTAAACAGACAGATTCCTCCATACATGATGTCTGCACGATCTCCATACAGGAATTTTTGTCCGTTTGACTGATTTAGGTTGTTTTCACACCTGATAGTCCAGTAGACTAGGTTCTGTTGGGGACCAATATTCATGACATTTTGTTTACATTTGAGCTGGTGCGTTTGCATTCACACTGCACTGTTGAGTCAACCTGTTCCCCCGCTCGCCTGTGGTGGCGCTGCACCAAGAACTACTGAAAGAAACAACACAAAAACCTCTGTAAAAAAAATTATTCGTCTTCTTCTTCGTCTTCATCTTTTTCTTTGTCTTCTTCTTCTTCGTCTTCATCTTTTTCTTTGTCTTCTTCTTCTTCTTCTTCTTCTTCTTCTTCTTCTTCTTCGTGTGAGAAGAGTGTGAGTGGAAGAGCAGAGGAGCGGAAAGGGTAAAAAAGTGTTCAAAAAGCGTTCAATACAAAGTGAAAGTGTTTATTCATTCTATTTTTTCTGTCCTTTTTCTACTTTTTTCACTGGGTGTTGTGTTTTTGTTAGTTATTTAATTGTGGATTTTGTTAGTTTAATAGTTTAAAGATTTTGTTTGACGAGGGTGTGGCTGTCAGGTGCACCTGGCTGGCCCGCGTCTAGACGCCATGGTGGCAGGAGACACGGGAGAATTCTCCACGCTGACGCGAAAAAACGGCATCAAGGTGAGTGCTGGCTCTCCATGCAGCGTGGAGGAAGTTTGTTTAGCGGTGGGGGCGGTGGTTGGACATGGGCCCATAAGGTCCGCAGCTCGCATGAACGAGGCTGTGGTCATTTTTGTTGACAAGGTGGAGAAGGCTCAACAACTGGTCGAGGCTGGCATCTCAGTGGGTGACTGGTTTTTACAGGTGTCATCACTGGTGCTGCCAGCCACAAAAATAACTGTCCAACGTCCCCCCATTTATCAGCGACGAATTTTTGATAAAGGAGCTGTCCAGACATGAGAAGGTGGTGTTCCCAATTAAAAAAGTGTTACCATACTACTTTATTTATAAAGCACTTAAAACAGCGACAAGGCCAACCAAAGTGCTGTACAGACAAAACAACAGGCAACATACAAAGCAAAATACAAAATGAAGTAAATCAGAAATATAGACATAAAAACGATGCAGATAATGACGACAAACCAGTGTGGAGCATACAGGATCAAAACACAGATCATCTTGTGTTGAAAGCTATTGAATAGTAGTGAGTTTTTAAACGGGACTTGAAAACCGAGAGGGAGGGGGCCTGTCTGACAAGCAGAGGTAACTCGTTCCAAAGTCTTGGTCCTGCTACAGAGAAGGCCCTGTCACCTCTGCACTTAAGACGAGTTCCTGGAACTGTGAGGAGCAACTGGTCCGCTGACCTCAGGGAGCGTGGTGGGACATATGGTTGTAGCAGATCAGAGAGAT